ATTATGGCGCAAAATGGAGAGTTTGACGGGGTTGAGCAAGAGATAATTGAACAACAGTTATATGAGGAAAGGAAGAATTTGTTTTACAGATACGGGCGCACGACAAAATGGTATGAAAATATGCGTCTTCGTATTGAAGCACAGAGTAAGGGTATTACATTGCCCTTCGAAGAAAGAAGTGTTTCTCCTTCAGGCTTTAATCCGTTGGTTTTACGTGTAGCTGATAGTTTAGGCAGGGATGCACTTTTTAGAAATATTGTTGACGGTGTTACAAAGGGCCAGCTATTAGATGGAACAATTAAACCGATGCTTGGAAAAGAAGTAGTAGTTAATAAAGAAAAGGCAGCTGGATTTTACCGTCAGTCTGTAAGTGATATTGATAATTATTTACAAGTGTACTCAAGTAATGATTCGTCGTCGTATTTTGTTGCTTTTCAAAAAGCTCAAATTTTACAGTTTAAGTTAAATAAGCCTTTAGAGGCGTTTAGGTCATACATTAGACTTGCTAAAAACTTTTCACATGATTCACTAAAAAAAGAATTAGATGACCCTGATTCTCCTTTAAAATCATATCGACGTGAATCGTTAGATTTGGCATTCACCATAGCCGACGAGATTGCAAAGAATGAAAAAGTTGGCTTTTACACTCCAGGACTTGACACTGTTTCGAGGATTCCAAAGTCTCCCTCTGCAATAAAAAAGGATGAACTTTATATGCTGGAGGTTTTAGAATTATATGTTAGGTTGTTTCCTAATGATACAATTGGTTATAAATCCGCAGGTTTGTTGATGAAGTTTTATGCTGTTAAAGGCTATATGGAAAAATATAGGGAGTATGCTTCTATTTTAAATATGTACTATCCTGTACAGAACGTTGATTTGGGAATATTAGCAATGATTGCAGCTAGAGAGTATGATGATGGACGTTTTCAAAATGCAGAATTGATTGCTAAGGGTATTCATAAAGCACCATTTTTAAAGGATGAAAAAAAGGATCCAAAACAATTAGAATTTAGAAAATATGCTTTTAATTTGATTGGTACTTCGATTGCATCCAAGGCTAAAAAGTTGGAGGATGAAAAGAAATATCTTGAAGCCGCAAAGGAATATCAAAGGATTGTATATGAAGTTCCAGAGTGGAGTCAATCCGCATTGGCAGCTCAATATTCAGCTAATAATTATGCAAACGCCGGTCTTACGAGAGATGCTGTTGGTATGAATAGAAAACTTATCGATTTAAGCAAAGATTCAAAGCAAAAGTTGATTGGATACAGTGGTTTGTTGTACGCTTTTCAAAAAGCAGGGGAATTGGACAGTGTTTCTTTGGTGCTTGAAAAAATTTCTGATGAATATCAGAAAGATTCTCTGAATTTAGCAGAGAGGAGTTTATTTGATGCTATTAGGATTTCCGAACAATCCTCAAATTTTAAGCAAGCAATAAGATTGTCGAACAAGTATATAGACAGATATCCTGATTTAGAAAAAACTTATAAAGTTGTCTTTAATAAAATTAATCTATCCAAAAAATTGGGTGATTTATTAGGTGTGTTTGAAGCATATGGTCAATTTGCGGATACTTACAGTGATAATCCATTAAGTGTTGAAGCGTATTTTCGGCGCGGTGATTTTGCAGAAGAAAAGGGTGACTTTGAGATTGCGAGAGAGGAATATATGAAAGCTTATGACAGAAATTTAAAATTGCTTAAAGAGAAAAAAAATAATTTATTTGCAAACGAATCGTTGTATAGGTTAAGTAGAAAGTTTATTCTTGATTATAAGTCATCATCAGTTGGGCTTTCTGTGCCAGATGAAGTGTTTGAAAGTCAAATTGAAAAGAAAAAGAAACCAAAGTCAGAAGAAACAAATGCGAATTCATTTAGCTCATCAAATATTGGATTTGATGCTAAGCAAAAAGAATCTCTTTATAAAGAGGTTAAAGAGAATTTATTAAAACAAATAAACTTAGGCGGATTTAGATCTATAATTGCTCAATATAGGGTTGCAGAAATTTCTGAAGATTTAGCGCATAATTATCTAAGTCAAATACCTCTCTTGGAAACATACAAAAATTCCAAAGGGGAAGCTATTCCTCCTATAAAATTAGCGGAGGGTGTAACGAAAGCAAATATTGAATCTGCCGTGATGTTTACCAGGTCGGGTGAAGATTATATTTCTGTATGGACAAGTTTGAAGAGGCAGCTACAAGAGGTGATTTCTAAAATTGAGATTGAAAAGATTGAAAAATCTAACGCTATAGTGGATTTAAAATTTTCTGAAAAGCTATATGGTGGATTAATAGAGCTAAGCACAAAGATATCTAAAAATAGTGAGACTTTTATTTCCGATATAGAACAATTTGAAAAATTAGCTGTTGAGTGGGTTATGACCACGAGTACTCCAGTTCCACTAGATATCATTAAAAATTTAATAGAGTCAGTAGCAGAGACATGCAGAAAAAGAGCAGTTCATAGTCTTTACCAAACAGCTATGTTGAAAGAAAAAAATGCTGATTTTTACTCTAAACTCGAAGTTCCGGACGATGTAAAGAATTTTACAATCAATGTTGGAAAGGGTAAGGGAAAAATTTCTGTTTTTATGGGAGATGTGCAAGAGCTGATTGTTCTGTCGAAATTAGTTTCAACTAGAGTTAGACCTTTTTCTCAACAGGCTGTAATTGCTTATGATTCTTTGGTTCGAAAGATTCAAAAGTTAAATGTTTCACAGGAAGAAATAGTTGCGATAGAGAATAAAATACAAAAGTTATTATTATTACCAGTCGAGAGGGTAGATTCATTGGTAAGAATAGCCACAAGATATTTCGATATTTTTGACGTTGCTTATGATGATAGATTGAGTAAAGTTGATGCCGCGAATAAGCAGACTAAAAATGATGTTATTGATTTTGTTATTAATAAAGTTAAAATGAATCAAATTATTCAAGTGATAAATGGTTTGACAACATCTGCGTTGGATGAGTATGCTTCAGCATATAAGACATTTAAGTCATTAGAATCTGACGATGTAAAATTAAACTCTGTTGCTAATAAAGCCGCAAAGTTTGTTTATGACATAGGTTCTTTGTATTTATCTACTTATCAAAGGCTGAAAGAGAAGTTTAAAAAGTATAATGATTTAGCTAACCAATATTTTGATAAAGATTGGTTGAGTGCGGCTGCTGTGAGTTATGAGCCAATTCAAAATTTGTTTTTATCTCTTTCTCAAAACGTTTTAGGACAAGCTGTAATTTTAATTTCTGAATACAAAATTCAAAATGAATATACATCGAAGTCGTTGAATCTTTTGGTTGAAAGTGATAGAGCGAAATATCTATCTTATTTAGGCACAGAGGCTGTAAAAGATAATTCCTTTCAGGGAAATTGGAGTTTCAGTTTGAATGTTCCCGAAGAGGATTATTTTGAGTGGTATAAAAAGGATTATCCGAAGGCAAATAGTTGGCGCGAAGCCTTTCAAAATGAAGAGGTTGTCGTTTTAAAGTATTTGCATCAAGTAAACGACACATCATATACGTTAAAACCGTACAATGCCAATTCTTATTGGTTTAGGAAGTATTCCTCAAGTGTAGATGTAGTAGTTGCAGAAGAAGGCAGAGACGCTTTGTCGTTAAAATCTGCTTCATTAAATCCATTTAAAAATGATGGAGATCAATATGAAGTAACATTTGAGTTTGATAAAAAAAATAAGCTTAAGGGATCTAATAATGAATCTGTGATCAATACGATATATAGTTTTGTGTCTGAAAGCAAGGAATTTTTGATAGAGGTGCGTCCGTATATTTTTGATCTGAACTTAAAGAAGGGTAAGAAAAGAACTGAGGTATTTAAAACACGCGCAACAAGTATTATAAACGAACTTGTTAAAAAGGGAATAGATAAAAAGCGATTTCTAATATTTGATGTTAAAAAATTGGAAGATACCCAAACTAAAACCATATTGAGAGCTATAAAAAGTCCTGCTACTACTAAGGATGACGAATCTAATAGAAAAATTCCATATAAACAGGACACAGGATCTATAAATGAGATAATATATAGAAGTACGTATGATTTGGAGAATTACGGTTTTTTACAAGACTCTAAGGGCGTTCCCGAGTACGCGTATTTTAGATCTTCATTTGAATTTAAGGACGCTGTAAAATTTGCTCAATTAATAATGTCGAGAAAAACAAAGTTGGATTCTATGGAACTTTACGTAAATGATGTTTTTGTTGATATGGATAAAGAACGAATAGTAACCACAAAAGGGATGTCCTATCATTATGACGAGTCTAAGCAGCTTATTTATGATATTACGGCAAAGATTGTAAATGGAACAAATTTGATTGCTTTAAAAGTACCGACGAGGATGACTCAACAAGGGATCAATTTGTTTTCAAATATAGCTTATTACGGTGCTGTTACACCAGAGCAACTTCAAAAATTAGTTACTGTGGTTATCGAAAACAGAGCTAAATCTATGAAACAACTAAAAGAAGCAAGTTCGACAGAAGCTCAAGCACCTTCAGTACCAGAGGACTAAAAACAATAATAAGTAATTTTATCTATGTTGTATAGGGTTTTATTAGTTTGTTTTTTTATTGTTGGCTGTTTATGGCTTAATGAAGATTTGAATGCACAAAGTAAAAATAAAAATAAGGATAAAAGTAAGGAAAATATCGCTGGTGTGAAAAATAGTTCTGAATTAACAAGTACAAATAAGGAGCAAAGTGAAGATGAGTTGAAAAAATTATTAAAACTAGAAGGTGTGACTACAAACGCAGAAGAAGGAAAATCCCCAGAGCTAACGCTAGATGTGCAAATGATATTAACAGAACTTCGAAAACCTTTATACAATATAAAAATAACTAGACCAAATATTGCTATCTTTCTTGATGATTCTAAACTTGGAAATATAAAACAATACATCGATGAGAAAGCATACCAGACCTTTTATGGAATCAAGATAGAAGAAACGAATGTCTTCGATATAGAAAAGTAAAACCGTACCCGAGAGGAGATTCGAACTCCTATGCCTTTAGGCACTACCACCTCAAAGTAGCGCGTCTACCAATTTCGCCACTCGGGCAACACGTGAGAATAGAAGGACTCGAACCTTCGACCCTCTCCTTAAAAGGGAGATGCTCTGCCAACTGAGCTATATTCTCTCCTATTATTATGTGTTTTTATACCTCAACCTTTTCTTATGTCTGTTCTTCCTTCTTCTCTTCTTTCTTTTATGAGTAGACATCTTGTGCCTTTTCCTTTTTTTTCCACAGGGCATATATTTAATTTTATTTTTGATGTGCAAATATAAATAATAAAGTAGATTAATAAAAAAATGAACACGAATTTAAGTAAGAAAAAAAAAATTAAAGAACTTAGAGAAATTATTGATAGGTATAATACAGAGTATTATGAAAACAATACTTCGTTAATTAGCGATAGCGAATACGATATGTTGATGAACGAACTAATACAACTAGAAAACGAATATCCTGAGCTTATTTCCAGTAATAGCCCTACTCAAAAAAATTGGGAGTAAACCTCTAAACGAAAACACTCTTATAAAACACACAAGAAAAATGTTGAGTTTACAAAACACTTATACATTTAGTGAAATTGAAAAGTTTTTAACATCAAACAGTAAACATTTCAAAAATGTTCAAACAATCGGATACTGTTGTGAAATGAAAGTAGATGGAATTGCTGTTAGCCTTTATTATGAAAATGGAAAGTTTTTAAGAGGTATGACGAGAGGGAACGGAGTATATGGGGAGGATATAACAAAAAACATACATGAAATTAAATCAATACCTATGGAAATTAAATCAACGAAGAATCCGCTGATTAAAGAGCTTGCAAATTCTTCCTTCGAGGTACGAGGAGAAGTTTACATCAAATTAAGTGATTTTAATGCCATAAATGAAATTAGAAGATTAAAAGGGGAAATTGAGTTTCAAAATCCAAGAAATGCTGCAGGGGGAAGTCTAAAGTTATTGGACCCGTTAGAGGTTTCGTCAAGGAAATTATCCGCTTTATTCTATTACATAGATTCACATTCACCTTTACTGGAAAAAATAGAAAGTCAATATTTGAGAATTCAATTATTAAGAGAAATAGGATTTTTTATTAATTCAAATGTGTATTATTCTGAATCTCTGAATGAAATTTATGAAAAAATAAGTAATTGGTACGAAGTGAGAAGAGAGCTTGATTTTGAAATTGACGGTGCTGTTATTAAAGTGGATAATGTGAATTACTGGAATATATTGGGAGAAACAGCTAAGTATCCAAAATGGGCAATTGCTTATAAGTTTACATCTTTTAAAGAAAAATCACAAATAGTTAATGTCGAATTTCAAGTTGGCAGAACGGGTATCATAACACCTGTGGCTGAATTAACACCTGTTAAAATTTCAGGCTCAATAGTTTCAAGAGCTTCATTGTACAATATCGAAGAAATTAAAAGGCTAAATATTGCAATAGGCGACAAAGTATTAGTCGAAAAAGCAGGTGACGTTATTCCAAAAATTTTGAAGCTAGAATCACCCGCGGATTCCAATTTGAGAAAAGAAATCATTCTACCTGAATTTTGCCCTTCTTGTGGTACTAAACTTAAAGTTAGAAAATCAGTAATTGGCTTGTTTTGCGAAAATACTATGAACTGTAAACAAAGAATAAAAGCAGAAATATTATATTTTTGTTCAAAAGAAGCGATGAATATACAATTTGTAGGAAGTAGTTTGATTTCAGACTTATATGATAATGGTCTTATTTCTGATATTGGCGATTTATATTATCTAAATGAAAATCAATTAAAGCATCTTAATAAGATTAAGGATAAATCGTCAAATCGCATATTATCCTCAATAAGAACCAGCAAGGGAAATAGTCCTGTTCAAATACTAATTGGATTGGGAATAGAACATGTGGGTGAACAAATTGCTCGAAAATTATTGGCGAAGTTTGAAAGTATAAAGAATTTAATGAATGCAAGTATTGAAGATGTGTTAGCAGTTCCTAATATTGGAGCGGTTATTGCTGAATCCGTTCATAATTTTTTTCAGCAACCGCACAAAAAAAGTGTAATACATAAATTGGAAAATGTTGGCTTTGATTTTTCTAAAAAGGATGAACCTGAATTGATTAATAATTCATTAAATGGCAAAATTTTTGTGTTTACAGGTACTTTAAGTTCATTAAAAAGAGAGGATGCGAAAATGAAGGTCAAGATGCTTGGCGGTACTACATCGGATACTATAAGCAAGGAAACCTCCTATTTGGTTGCAACTGAAACCAATAGTGCAAAATATAAAAAAGCCGTTGCTATAGGAACTAAGATACTTTCAGAAACAGATTTTTTAACAATGGTAAATTAAGACCGTTTACATTATAACGCTCCAAAAAAATATAAGTGATCAAATCAATTGTAGAGGCAAGGATTTTATCTGGATTTAGAGATATACATTCTCAAACCGCCATTTTGAAGGAGAAGATAATTGATAGTCTTAAAAATATTTTTAAATTATATGGTTTTGAACCCTTGGAAACACCCCATGTTGAGTATGCCAAAGTACTTATGAATGAGGAAATAGATGATGTCCAAAAGCAATTGTATCGGTTTTTAGATAATGGCAAAAGGGATGTCGTTTTACGTTATGACCATACGGTTCCTTTAGCAAGATTTGTTGTTCAAAATAAATCAACATTAAAATTTCCATACAAGCGTTATTCCATAGGGAATGTTTTTAGAGCAGAGAGCCCACAGGTAGGAAGATATAGAGAATTTACTCAATTTGATTTTGATTGTATTGGTTCTGATTCCTTATTTGCAGACATTGAAATTCTCCAAATGGTATCTCATTCTGTTACGTCTATAGGTAAGCAAAAATTCAAAATTCGTTTGAATCATAGAAAAATCATTAAAGGACTTGTCAAGTTTCTTAACGTCACCGAACAAGAATCTGTTGTATATAGAGCCATTGATAAGCTTAATAAAATCGGAGTTGAAGGCGTATCAAAAATTTTGTTTGCTGAATGCCACTTTACACAAAATCAAATAGATACTTTATTAGAATTTATCTTACCAGGAACTCACTTTAATCCCGTTGATTATCATAAAAGTTTTTTGAATAGCAAAATATACAATTTAGAAATGCAAGAAGGCTTTTCAGAATTGCAAATTATCATGGATATACTGAAAAAATTCGAGGCCCCTGAAGCTAACTACGCTCCTGACTTTTCGATTGTTCGTGGGCTTTCTTATTACTCTGGAGTAATTTATGAAACTGTGTTGTGTGATAATGAGGAATTGGGCTCAATAGCTTCTGGTGGACGTTATGATAATCTAACTAAAAAATTTAGTAAAGATAACTTAACAGGTGTTGGAGCTTCAATTGGAATAGATAGATTACTTGTTCATTTGGAAAAAAACTCTACTTCCTCGGTGTCTTCAAATCAAATTAGAGTGTACATTGCTAATCTCGATAATAGTGCCATAACGGGTTCATTTCATTTAGCCTCAATGTTACGAAAAGAAAATTTTGTCGTAGATGTTTCTTCACAAATTAAAAAAATATCTAAACACTTTGAATATGCTGATGCCAAACTCTATGATTATCTAATTGGTTACGGTGAGAAAGAATTACTGAACGATAAGTTTACTGTTTCAAACCTAAAAACAGGAGTAAAGACCGAGTTGCATGCTTTCGATGCACTAAAAGTCTTTCTGTTAGCTTCAAAAAAAGACAAATTAAATTAAATGAATAAAATAGTAATCCTTTTATCAAGTGCTTTTCGGATAAATAAAAATTTTCTTTTACTGTTAAAAGAAAGAATAAATCAACAAAACTATTTTTTTGCATTGCTTCCTTTTTGTTTTGACGTTTATTACTACCTCAATTTCAGGTGCTGCTTGGATGGGAAAGCCGTTTGTATTCGAGCTAAATGCCTTGTTTGAAACGATTCTTTATGGATTTTCGTTTTCATTTCCATTTCTATTAATCTTAACTTTTCACGAATTTGGGCATTTTTTTGCTGCTCTGTATCACTCTGTAAAGGTCTCACTTCCATATTATCTTCCCTTCCCTCCTTTGCCTTCAATACTAAATATTGGCACCATGGGTGCTGTAATTAGAATTAAAGAAAAAATACCAAATAGAAATAGCCTTTTTGATATAGGCATTTATGGTCCATTTGCAGGATTTGTTATTTCCATTTGCACACTCCTTTGGGGGTTCTTAACTTTACCAAATATTAGTTACCTTTTTTCAATTCACCCAGAATATGCTTCTTTAGATAAAATTCCTGAATTGACAGGAACACTTCTTTTAGGTAAAAATTTGCTCTTTATTTTATTTGAAAGTCTTTTTGCTTCTAAGAACATGCCACCCATGACGGAACTATATCATTACCCATACCTCTTTGCCGGCTGGTTAGGCTGTGTTGTTACAGGATTAAATCTTTTGCCAGTTGGGCAATTGGACGGAGGGCATATTATTTACGCCATGTTCGGTGAAAATTTGCAAAGACGCATTGCAGCGGTAGGAATTGCCCTTATTTTTTTCCTTGGATTACCCTCCTTTTTAGAAATGCTCACACAAATTATAGTGACGCTTCTTTTTGGCTTTGATACGATGCTATTAATTGAATTTCCAACTTGGCTAACTTCATGGTCCTGGCCTTCGTGGATTATTTGGGGACTTATTTTGATTAAAATTGTTAAGCCAGAACACCCACCCGTTTTAGTCGAATATGAAATTACTTCTAAAAGAGGACAGTTTGGGTGGTTTGGAATACTGATGTTTTTTCTTTGTTTCACTCCAGTTCCTTTCAGTTACGTCAGGTGACACAGCTAAAGCGTAATTAGTCGCTTGTTTGTTTTGGCTAAGCTGACACCTCCTGATTCTGTAACAACAATAGCGTCTTCAATTCGAACTCCAAACTTTCCAGGTAAATAAATGCCAGGTTCAATAGTGATTACCATATTCTTGGTTAACATATCTTGACTTTTGGTATTTATTCGTGGGTGTTCATGTATTTGTAAACCAACACCATGACCTAAACCATGACCAAAATGTTCACCATAACCTTTGGAACTAATATGATTCCTTGAAATTGAATCAAGATCTTTTCCATAAATTCCTGCCTTTGCCCCGCTGATCCC